TGACCCAGTGCAAGGCAATTGCCCAAACTGCTGCCCTCTCACTGTGGTCTTCCATATATACTTTTAGTTTATTTTTTGTTTTATTGGGGCCTCCTAAAAAGTGCTCAGTGGTCCTTGGAGCCACCTTTGGTGATATTGAGTTTGGGTATGGGGCACCTTGGTTTGGTGCATGGCCCTGTATGCCATGAAGAGCCAGTGATGTTGGCACCACTGCAGCCACCTGTGTGCAGTTCACCTGAGTGCCAGGAATCAGGAATCAAGCTCAAGGTCTCCTGCATGCCGTGCAGCCTTCTACACCATTCCCTTGCCTCTTTGTAGAACTCTTCATTATATATTTTCAACTCTCTGTTATTCTAATTACTTTTTCTGACTGTTTTATTTCTCATGGTCTTTATTTTTTTCTCATCTTATCCATACAGTTTAATCAAACCCTCTCTTTAGGTGACTGCTGTACTCTATTCAGATATTCTCCTGTCTTTTTCACTGTTCCGTTTTCATTTTCTTTTAAGATATTTTTTTTCCTTCCTGTCCACTTCTTACATTAATTTCCCCTGTCCTTTAAATATAAAGCACATATTCTGAGCCAGATGTGATTTTGAACCCTGGGACATAAGGGGGAATGGTACAAAATCCATGTTTATGTGCAAGTTTGCATTTGAAGAGGGTTATAGGTTATAAGGTTATAGGTATCATCTAAGTTATGCCTTGAAAGAAAAACCACTGGAAAGGAAAGTTTAAAAAGACATTTATACTGAGTGGAAGTAGTGCCTGTTGGAGTAAGCATCCTAGGCCGGATCAAGAATAACATGATATAAGTTCTTTAGGAGACACCAAAGCGATATCCAGTGTGGTCTGGAGTTTAGATCTGAGGAATTTTATGTATAGAATATCCTAATATTCTGTGAGGTTTTTCCAAGATTTTCCATTGGCTTGATGTCAAATCTGCTTATGAGTTTTTCTCTTAGTTTCCCCTCCAAATACTCGAGCTATCACCTTTGAGAAGATGATTCCCAATTCCAGTATAATTTTGCTTCTGCATACCTTTCTAATGAACAACTTTTCATTTCTTCTCTGCACGTTGGTCATTTTCACTACTGTCTCCAGTGAATATGCTTACAATTTAAAGAAGGTTTCCTTGCATTTTCAACCAGCTGTCTCTTTTAACATTTTTGTTTCTGTAAATGAAAGTATTAATTCCTTACTCAGCAACTTCCAAACTTAGGAGTGACCTTGAGTTGTACTAATCTCTCTTTATTTTTACATGCCATCTAATTTTACTTTAATGGAAAAAAAACATATTGTAGCAGGTATTGTTTTATACCCTTGGGATACTTATGGAACATAACAAATTAAAAGTAATTGCTGAGATGCAGGGTAGTGATGGGAGAATGAAAATGAATAGTCAACATGATAAATTGCCAGTTTTTGTGCTTTATTTGGAAGCGGTAGGTCCAGGTAATGGATTGAGCAGACAACTGTGTCAGCTGACAGACAGGGCCAAATGATGTAGGTATTGTAGTCCATGGACTGTAGCTTCCTTCACGCACACTGAGACCCAAATTGAAATGCTTTAAGCTAAGAGGTGACATTATTTTATTTGAGGTTGAGAGTGCATCAAAATTCACTTGTCCCATCTTGCTAGGCGCACAGCCAGTTTCAGTCTCCTGGGAGCTATGCCATGGTATCCTACCCAGGGAAGGAAATAAATGGTTGTGGTGAATACCTTCACTAGGGTTCACTCAGAAACCTCTTGTGCAGGCTTCCTCATCCCAACTGGATAAAGGTGGAAGTCCTTATTGAAGTGGCACTCAACCCTATGCTGGTGCACCTGTATGAATGTGTGGCTCAGAATATTGGTCTAGAACTACTCAAAGAATATTTGAAAGCAGGAAAGAGGTATCGGTCATGTTGATCTTAGCACTTTCAGTCCATTTCTACCACATTCTAATTGCACTAAATTAATGTGATAGTTTGGAAGAACAATTTTGGCTCCTATGTAGGGTGAGAATATAAGCTATTATGAACAATATTAGTGGCCAAAGCAAAGTCTCCTTGGGATTGGGACTAAGGAAATTTTATTGAAATTGATTTTAGATCATTTTTAATGTAAAATTAATGACTCTTACTGAAATCAGTAGTTTTAATAGGTTAGACTATGTGTATGTGTGAAATGTCACTTGATTTGATTTTCAACTTCTCTTCAATTACTTTTTGCAATTTCCGTAGCATGAGCATCATTGAGTATTGTTAAGATATATTTTAGGTATATTACTAGAATGATCTCAATTAGAGGGAAAATTAATCTTCTGTTTGAGAATTTTTATACACTATAATATCTAGTACAATGCCTATGTCAGGTATGCTTTTTTTAAATAACTTGATTTACATGAATGAATGAAAAGTTAGGCTCCATGGACTTAGAGGTGTGAAACTGTGTCTTGCTTTGCATTTGCTATCACTTCACTTAAAATATTTACTGCCTTCTAAGAGATAGGTTTAAATTTATGAAATTTTGTTTTAATAGGGACCTACTGGGAAAGTAAATCTCAGACTATAACATAATATGGTCTGAGATTTAATGTTTCACTAGACAGTAAAAATACAAACAGACAAACAAAAAATGAATTGTTTTAGAAGAGCACATGGACTATTCCTGAGTGGCCTACTCCATCACATTCAAGTGTCCCCAGTAGTCACTGTCCATTACTGAGATGGAACCACTGTACTGATGCCAGTTTTATTCAGAATTCTACACTAGCTTGATTTATTGTAAGAAACATTGGGATTTATAGTAAATTCAGCAGATAAGGCAGTTTATGTAACTTAAAGCACTAATGATAAGATTTGTAACTGAGGGGGGGAAAAATTGAAACTAAGGAAGTAGAAGTGAAAATTGAAAGAGAGAAATATAAGAAACTTCATAGAATATGGTGAACAAGAAAATTTGGGGAAAGTATGATACTATAATAAAAATGAAAACTAAGCCTCCATATGGATGAACTTCAGTTCACTCGTGTGTGTGTGTGTGTCTGTGTGTGTGTGTGTGTGTGTGTGTGTGTGGTGTACTTTCTAAGATGAAGCCAGATAGCTGCTTGCCACCAACAGAAGTGGGTAGTGATAAAACTGGACATTAAAGCCTGATATATTCCACAACATATTGTTTTGTGCTTATTTTTCTGTATATTCATTATGATTATATGCCTGATATGATAAAAAGAAGTTTGATGCTGAAATTGCTGATAGAAGAGGTGTAAGAATATAACAGATGTAAACTTTTGCACCAGTGTGTGAGGGAGAGTAAGATGACCATTGAAATGCATGAGAGAAACATCAGGAATAGACAATGAATTAATTTTAGAAACAGAAGCAATTCTGAAGGGTACAGATAATATCAGGGCACTATGAAAAACTGCTTATCAAAGTACAGTGATGGCATAAAGGTAATAGGCCAGAAGAACTCCAAGTGTTGGAGTGTATGTCTGATTCGATTACTATTCTTCAGTGTGAAGGTTAGAAGTTTGTTCAAGTGTGTAAGGACTAAGCATGTGAAAGGGCTGAGGTGGGTCTTTTCTCATACATGGAATCGAGCAGTTTATATGTGCACACCACCCACGTCGTATAGATAAACATGTGCAGAGACCATAGATTCTAAGATTTTCCATGAAACTCACACAGGGCTAGGGGAGAATAGATGTACCTGGTAGGAGACATCAGAATGGAAAGGGGAGACAAATGTCAGAACAACAGAAAACCATAGTCAGATGCATATTTGCTAAGAAAGTCTGCTCTTTGGTAATTTGTATATTGCTGGATCATAGGATGGGGGTGACAGAGGGATTTAATGAATCCCCTCACCTTTGTCTATGTTTATTTTATTATATTTTAGGTTTTTACAATAGTGTTAACATTTATGTACTAAATTACTGCGCCCCACCATCATCAATGTACCTTTGGCACGCTGGTGTCCCTGTGTCACTCTAGGGTGGTCTCCCTTCCCCGCTTTCCTCCTTCAGTTGATTGATAAGTTTTGTAATTCAAGACTAAGAGTTTGTCATCATTCAATATTGTTGATACACTTGTTCTGTTTAATGAAAGCCAATAACCCCACCCTACCTGATATTTGCAAATGCAGATGAAACTAAAGTTAACACAATACAAATATGAGTTACTTGTAGACCTGATATATGTTTTCTGAATTCTTCCACTGTCCACATCAATATCTTATTTCATCGACCTTGTTTTCAACTAGACATACTATATATTACTACACAACCTTAAGAGTAGAAATAGGAGCTGTAATTATTTTGCTGTGATATGCACATGATAGTAAAAAAAATTAGGCAAAACCATTGTTTCTCTTCATTATTTATTATGTACCATAGTCCTGGAAATTTTAAAATAAAAGATGAAAAATAATCAGAAAAGGACAATATAGAATACTGGAACTGAATAAAAATTTTACTCTGGAAAGATTAAGTTTGAGGAGGAAAAAGTATTGAATCATGAAGTATCAAGTTTCACTTAAAGAAGATATTTAAATACAGAATAAAGTTTTGTGTACCATATATACAGTGGAACTCATTGCTCTAGTACTGTAAGGGAAATATAAAAATATACATGGACAGCAGCCCAACAGTAGGTAATTATGGGAAGTCGGACATATCTTTTTTCTTTATGAGCTTCCATGCAGTTTCTTTTAGAGATAAAATTTCTATAGAATGTGTAAAGGCATCCCTTTGCAGTGATAAAATAAATATAATATATAATTTTCTTTTTCTTTGTAAAGTTCTATTTCAATCTCATATGAATTTGTTCTTATCATGCATGAACGTCTACTGTGTATGTATACTGATATTTGTTAATAGCTTAAGCATTTCAAAATTTAGACTTATGTGGAGAAATATTTTTATAAATGGATGTTCTTGCTTCTTTAAAAAGCTTGTAAACTAAAAATTATAGATGCTTCTAAACAAAGTTAATGTATTTTATGCTTTCTCTAGGCTGGGATGATAAAAAGTGATAATGATGAGTATTTCATTGAACCCTTGGAAAGAGGCAAACAGATGGAGGAAGAAAAGGGAAGAGTTCATGTTGTCTATAAGAGATCAGCAGTAGAACGGGCCCCGATTGACATGTCCAAAGACTTCCACTACACAGGTAGGCGTCTTTCACCTGTCTGCAGAACCATCTTAATTGTAAGATATGATGAGCACAGTTTTCTCATCAATTAGAAGAATGTGTTGGCATGTGCTCTTGTATAATCTAGGTGTGGCAAAAGAATATATTTATGAATTAGAAAATTTAATTTGCCTTTTCAAGACCATAAAGGAGCAAATGTTATAGATTTTATTTATTCTAGTGAATTGCTTCCCTGATGTGTGTATTTATAGTTTTAAATTTTCACATTAAAATTCTCTTTTCTCTAGCAGATGTAAAACTTTAAACTACTTGTGTTCAATCAGTGCTCGCTGGAGATTTTCATTATTAACATTAATTATTGCGTGCAAAGAATTTATATGTTAGGACTTTTATTAAAGTTCAACAGCTAAGCTTTATTTGCTTTCATGTTATGAAGACATTACTATTAATTCTTATTTCTATTTTCATATTTTGAAAATGCCAGTGTTAATCAGAACACTGAAAAACATTGATTAAGGTAGTAAGATGCTATGTTTTTTATAGTCTTGGTTATTACATACATTATTAATATTTAATATATTTAATATGCCTTCTCAGGTAATGGTTTAATTATTTTCCTAAAAGCATGATTCATATATTTGGAATAGCACAAGATTATTTATTTCTTGAAATTTGGAAATTTAAGAAATATTAATTTAAGACTTATTATATTTTTATATAAAATAACTTCACAGCTTGAAAGTAAGAATTTAAAACTTTAGGATATTATTATTATTATTTTTGGAAATTATTTTAAGAAATTATTTACAAGATCAATTCCAGTAGCAATAGCATCAACACAGTTATTTTTTGTCTTTTTAAAACATGCAGACACCCAAAGCTATTTTGAATTTTTCGATTATGAATAGATAGAATTATAATACTGTCACTGTCACTGTCCTCTCATTGTTCATTGATTTGCTCGAGCGGGCCCAGTCACATTGTGAGACTTGTTGTTACTATGTTTGGCATATTGAATATGTCATGGGTAGCTTGCCAGGCTTTGCTGTGCAGGTGAGATACTCTCGGTAGCTTGCCGGGCTCTCCGAGAGGGGCAGAGGAATTGAATTATAGTACATGTAGCATAAATTATATAGCATGTATTATGAAGAGGTTTTCAGTGATGGTGGATTAAGGCAAAAAAAAAAGTTTGTTGCTCCTAACCATCAGTTGCTTGAGCAAGGGAGATAATACAAGCATCTAGGTGTGTGCCTTGCATGTAGCCAACTCAGTTTTGCATGTGATCCCCCAAGCTTTGCCAGATTTTTCTGGAGACCCTCTAAGCAGCTCAATATGAAACAATGATGAATTGAACTAGTTGAGTGGTATTGAGATGTAACAGACTAAATAGTAATGAGATTGAAGTAAAACGGAATTATTTGATGGAGTAGGTATTGGGATAGACAGGTCGAGAGAGCAGGGGAGTGAGAAGATATCAAGAATGAGTTAGAATTCAAATCCAGAAGACTAGAAAATTATCTTTTTGAAACCTAGTTATTTAAAATAGATATATTAGCCTTGATGGGAGATGACAAATAGGAATAATTTTGCTAATAGGAGTTGAAAATAGGTTGGAACAATCGGTGAATTTTAAAAATGCATTGTGTGTTTTCATAATTATGTTCCAAGGTACATTGTGGTAAAGATGGGTAGCGATGAACTTAGGTCTCATGTGTCAGTTATTGCCTCATATTTGGAATGTTTTCACTTGCCTTCCTTCCCCCCCACACACAGTTTTGCATCAATAAGAATTAGAAATTTCTTATTGCACAATTTGGGAATGCATGAAATAGGAGGATAACTTTATGTCCTGTTTTTATAAAAAAAAAAAAGCAAAAATCAAATTTTAAAACAAAACAAAATTGTGCTTTTATTATTGCATTTTAGAACCCCAAACTATTCTCCTTCACTAAATGCAAATGTCTTTTTTGTCCCCTTGTCTTCTAACTTTATCCTGGTTGCCAGTGAAAATCATAGCTTTGTACTTATTGGAATAATATATTAAATAAAGGAATTAGTAACAACAAAACCCTCAAAATACATTGCACAGATTTTTCTTTGGTACCTTTGAGGGAAGTTGTAGTTTTATGAAGTTTAGAAAAATATGCAGGACTGTTTGAAAATCTATTGAGCTTAACAGATGTAGCATTCTGTCTTAGAATTACTCCTTAATAATCAAATGTAAATTAGGTTTATTTTAACATTATAAATAATGGGCTCTTCCATTGAAGAACTGATCACTGTTTTTAACACATAGCACTCCCAGTTTCTGGCAAAGGATCACCATCCTTTTGCTAAATAACACATAAACTTGGCTTGCTTATGATAAATAAACTAGTCTACTTCATTATGGCCAGGGGTGGGTATTTGAGTTTTGTTTTGCATTTTTCTTTGGGAGTATGGAAATCAAATCTTGGTTTTGGCACCCTTAGTTCAGAGAAATTTGTATTTTATTGTTTTTTTTTTATTTTCTTAGTGAAAACATGGCTAATAAATCATTAGTGTTGTAAAGTTCGCTTCCATGTTAAGTCAATCTAAACCCAGGTTTGAAAAATAACCGCTGTATATGAATGTCTACTTTGTCACCATTAAAAACATTTTGCTTAAGGCAGTCTTTTTTTGTGTGTTTTGTGTTGGTTAAGGAGAGCAGGGAGCTGTACATATATGATGTCATTTAGCTTTTCATATTTTTAATTTAATCCCTAGGCCCTAAGGCTTCTCCCCTCAAATTACAACTATTGAATCACCAGAAGCTTTGTGTTAAGGTAATTTTTGTAATTACTTCCTACCAGTGGGAAACAAGGAATAGTAAGCCTTTATCTCCTAGCTTCCTTTCAGGATTTTCATTTTCCTGCGTGAACCCAAGTGCTTGTGTTGCTGGCGTGGTTGTCATGGTGCTGCCAAGGAGTGTCTTTGTCCCAGGTGGGAAAAATGGACAAGTCAGAAATGATTTGGGAGTTGCTCCTGGTTGCCAGGGAATGAAACTATGAAACAAGAACCAGAAGAATGGGAAGACTATTCCTTATTTTAGTTACCCTAAGGAGTTTCTAGGCAGAGTCCTTCCTTCAATGTATGGACACATGAGTAGGTGCTCTAAGTCTTTGTATTTGGAAGTTCTCACGACCTATGCCCCAATCAAAGGGGAAACACTGGTAGGCTTTGTATTCCCACTATCCCAACACTCCACAAATCAAATAAGAGAGATTAATTTTAGAATATGTTTATATTAAATGAAGCTTGAAACCTAATATTATTAAACCATTAAGGTTCATCACATAATAACCATTCTCCAAGGTGATATTAAATGCTGATTTTTTTATTGTGTACAGTTTAGTTAATCATATAATGTAAGGATTGACCATTTGTCAAGGCTGTTACTATTGGATTCATATGTAATTATTCACATTTACAAAATTATTCTAGATTGGTTTATATATTTCATATTATGCATTTCTAAAAATTATTGGAAAAAATAAAAGATTAAAGATGGATTTATGAAATTGATGATTGCATAAAATAATGAGAAAGCAGTGATAGGTAAAGAATTTTCAGGTGTTAAAAAGGATAATATTTTAGTTACTTTATTAAAATATTTACTGGGTTTATACTATCTTATTATTAATAGATTTACTGAAGGAGATTGGTTATGAAATATATGGAGTAGAGTTAAAGTCTTATACATGGAGTTCCATTTGTTTACTAATAAAGGTGGAAATATAAAAAGACATGAACTACATTGAGAATTCAGAGCTGCTACATTACTGGTTGGTTATTGATATGACATCAGTGGAAAAGAGAATTTATGGATTTTAAATATGGTTCTGTGTGTGAAATGAAATTGGGATAAGAAGATAATAAAAGTGATTTAGACCAGATACTGTAGAAAACAAACACAAAATAAATAGGAACAAAGCGAGCTCTGGTAACCTAGACTATGGAATCTGTCACATTTCTATTTTGTAGAAAAGTTTTATATTAATAATCACCTGTGGGCTTTGGCTGGCTGAATAGTTCACATTTGGCTGATAATCCCTGACTGTTGGCCTTCACTAGTCTTATTGGCATTCCCTACAGTTCTTTCTCTACTAGACCAGATTCTGCTCTCACTGTTGCAGTAGACCACCCAAATTTTTGCCTAGAACTCTATTCAGCTCATGTGATGCAGTCACGGCTTCTGTTGTGGTTGACCGATGTTCATCGTTCATCAGCACTTTCAGACAGGTCCCCAAAATACTCAGATATTTCTGGCATTGTTGCTGCACAGGAACCAAGGGGAGTCGTGGTTTCCTTGGCTAAAGCCAGATGATGTGCTCGAAGTCCATGAAGTATTCTTCAGTTAGCTTCTCCAACATAGCATGGAAGAAATGTTTTCACCTTGGAGGTTCCTTAGTGATATTTTAGTACCATGCCCTTTTCTACTAAAGTGCGCCTTTGAGGGGAACTGGAGGGGATACAAACTCAGCTGAGCTCGGGACTTATTTCTGCATCTGCTTTCAGGGATTTCTACTTACCTATTGTATTAGGCCCTCCCATTGATCATCGATTTGCTCGAGCAGGCCCAGTAATGTCTCCACTGGAGACTTTGTTGTTACTGTGTTTGGCATATCGAATATGTCATGGGGAGCTTGCCAGGCTCTGCCGTGCAGGCGAGATACTCTCGGTAGCTTGCCGGGCTCTCCGAGAGGGGCAGAGGAATCGAACTCAGGTCGGCCATGTTGGCTGCGTGCAAGGCAAACGCCCTACCGCTGTACTGTCGCTCCTCCGCCCTTATTACTGCTCACAAAATCCTTTTATACATGCTCAATCTCTTTCTCTTGAAAAATATTACTTGGACTTCAGAAGTTGATTATTGACTCTGTATAATCGATGCAATAATTTTCATGTCCATTGACTTACTTCCTTTCCTTTTTCCCCTCTTCACTCAAAACCTCTGGCCAGTGCTTGGGATGATTAGAAAGTAGATGATCTTCACACAAAGA